CGGACTGATGTGGAGGAAAATAAAGACTTTGGAAGGAGAGCAGCATAGAAATAGTTCAAGTTCATCATTAACATCTAACACAACGTCCTACTATGTTTTGTCATTTGTTTATGTCATTTCCAGCCAGAAGAAACCTGTTGATCGAATTAATCTTCCAGATATCGATATCAAAGACCGCAGCAGCAGAGCGGCTCAATGTTTGCTCTCATTTCTTGAAGCTTCTGAAGCTTCTTTTACCTCCCTGATCTTCTGATCGGTCGATCAATGAGTTCACACAGACAGAACCCCGACCAGCTGCCCGACTCTTCTGGAAGGATCTTAGAACTCTGGGAACCCTCACGGCTCTGTGGTCCGAACCTTCAGCTAACGTGAGATTAGCATCATGGTGATAATCCGCTAAAATCTGGACTTTAGTTTCAGGACACCCGCTGAGCGGAGGGATTATAACGTTCAGGATTTACTCGGCTCAGCAGCAGATTAGTGAGATATCAGACACTTTACCGAGAATGATCCAAATCATTACACCGATGTGGTCACTCGTAATTATGAAGCAATGTGTGAATTAATTCACCTCGTAGATGAAAATCCACAACTGAGCTCCATCTGTAGCTTTCTGTTGTTTTAATTGGCGAGAGCTTCGTTCCTTATTATTAATGCCTTCTGCTCGGGAGGTTAATACGAGACGGGCCCCGGCTGCTGCTCCGTTCACGGCGGAGGTCAAAGTTTCAGCTGCTCTGATGGATCTGGGCCACAGTGCTCTCTGCTCACGGGCGTAAAACAAGCACAGGACAAACTGCTAAATATGTGGGAGCGGCTTTCGCTTTCCGTCCACGGTTTGAGTTCAGCGCAGGTCAAATCTCAAATCCTCGTTCAGCACAAAACATATTCAGTCAAGGCTAGAATAAGATCAGATGTGTTCATGTTGCACATCCAGAGAATATGGCACATATCTACAGAAAAACAACAGTGTTGATGCACAGAAAGGGATATCGTATGTTTTTTGGGGCGGTTTCTTGACAGCCAGTATGTAAATTAATACTTTTTTCTGTGATTTTTAGTTGCTATTTTGTGTAATTTAGCATTTTTTTGTGGTCAATCCTTAATTTTTATAATTTTCCTTTCAAATAGCAAAAGAATAAAAACAGTAAAACTTGTGAAATGTTATGATCAAATGTTGAATTTAAAACCATTTAAAACTATTTTTATTTTTTTTTACCCAGATTCTGTTTAAATGCACCCAAAAGCATGCAGGAAGATTTTAATCTGTGCAGCTGCTCTTAAAATCTGTGTTGCACTTGAGTTAAAAGGAAATAAAGACAAAAATAGCAGGAACACACAGTTTAGTTTTGGTTTTTAATCCATCAAGCCAGTTATTTCTAAACTCAATTGATTTGTTTTGGTAATAATTTAGAAAATAAATGTGCAACAGCTTCTTAAATGTGAATATTTTCCGTTTTCTTTGCTCCTCTGCGACAGTAAACTGAAGATATTGGACTTTGGGAAACACTGATGGATGTTTTTTCCACATTTTCTGACATTTTCATGACCAACAACTAATTGATTAATCAAGAAAGCAATCAGCAGACGAAAATAGCTGCAGCCCTGTTTGCTGAAACTTTCCCTGCCGCTCAGAGGGCAGAGTGTCCTACTTGTTTACTTGCTTGTCCAGCCTCGACCCTTCATTGTGCATTGTGTTGTCCGGATTGGATGATTAATTACTCCTATGTGGGTCTTGGGAGATAACAGGTCTCATATTTAGCAGCACACATGTTGAGGAGGCACCCAGAGCGCTGAGTTTTGGGTGTTTCTTCCCTTTGATGGGAAGTGGAGCAGAAGGTTCAGGGCGACAGGAAGAGAGTCGCTGGATAGTAGAGCACAGCGACGCTTATAAATAGCCTCCGTGTCTCTTCATTTCACTCTGTGTGTCTTTGCCCAACCTCCCCCTGTTCATCCGAGGCTCCGCTTGGGTTTATCCAGCAAGCATCCACACCTTTCACAGGTTCTGCCTCGCTGCTAGTCCAGGTTTTGTCAGTTCTTTTCCCCCATAATACAACGCTGTGTCCTAAAAAACTAAACTGCCTTCTCATTTATGCTTTATAAAGAAATTTATTCTTGCATGCTTTTAATTTGAAAGAGCTGCAGAGTCTGCATAAGGAAGATGGAGACATAAGTAAGCCAGTTTGCAGCATTTTTCTTATACTATGTGTCCACAGCATTATTGTTTATCTAAGCAGCCTTGCAATGCATTCTGGTAGCTTTATGATAAGTTTTAAAAGATGTGGCGTCACGTTATTTTTAAAAGTAAAACTAAGGTCTAGGTTGCACCCTAAAAAGAAGTCTGTAAAAAAAAAAAAAAGAAATGCAAAAGATGCCAGAAAAAATAGATTAAAAAGCGATGGAGTGCTGCAGTGTTCAAAAACAGTAAAAAAAATAACAGTAAATTTTGCTCCTTCTCAGGAAACAAGCAGTGTTTCTGAATATTCCTGCAATTAAGTTTTATATTAAAGTAAATTATACAGCCAAAAGTATGTGGACGTGCAGCTATAAAAACACCTCAGCGTCTCACACAAACAGTCCGAGCATCCTTCGTGTTTAAATGATTGTTTCTGTAAATCTGAAGCTACCGTCAGCTATAAAGACGCTGCAGGTGTACTTCCAGAGTGGACCGACTGTGGTCTGGATGCTAAGATGAGCTGATCACCTCCCTGCTGCAGCTCCTCACTTAAAACATGAGTAGTATCGATCTGCTCATCTAACGCTCTGCACAGAAACAGAATATGTGTGCATGAGAGTAAATGGAAAATGAATACTGCAGGTTTTCTCTGGCTGGAACACTGGCTTTATCATATGGTAGAGAAACTAAAGAATAAAGGAAAAAGTACAGAAGAGTTTAGACCAAAAAAAAGTGCAGATGAATTGTCGGTACCTGTAAGAAACACGGTGAACTTCTCAGAAGCTGAGTCTTGATGCTACACTGTGCAATATATCACTCATAGTGGTTCCATCTTTGTGGGAACAGACGTTTATGACATAATGATGCTTCTGTTTACAAAACCTACAAAACCAGGCAATTAAAGTAATAAAAGAATTCCTGCACAGAAAAGTCTTGATATCAACCGTAAACCCAGTGAAGCCGATAGTTATTGTTCAGTGGAAACCTTCCGGAAGACTGTTGGACACCAGAACAACTGTTGGACTTTGCTTTAACATCTCAAACACAATGTCTGACTGTCTTTTTTCACTTGTGTCGTTTCCAGCCAGAAGAAACCTGTTGGTCAAATACAAATTCACTATAAATCAAACTTTTGCATTGATATAGATAACTTAGGGATGAACTGTACATCTGTCTTTACTCAAACCCACAAAACACTGATGAGGACGAGGTCCACTGAGAACTGTAGATGTTGGATGTAGATGTTGGATACAGGTGTAAGACTAAGATGTTGGATGCAGATGTTGGTTTAAGATGTTGGCTGTAGATGCTGGATGTGGAAGTCAGATATGGAAGTTGGATATAGAAGTTGGATGTAGATGCTGGATGTTGGAAGTTGAATGTAGAAGTTGGATGTAAGTACTGGATGCTGGATGCAGATGTTGGAAGTTGGATGTAGATGTTGGATGCAACTGTTGCATGTAGAAGTTGGATGCAACTTTTGGATGCACATGTTGGATGTGGATGCTGGATGTAAATGTTGAATGCAAATGTTGGAGGTTGGATGCATATGTTAGATGTAAATACTGGGTGTAGATGTTGGATGCGGATGTTGGATGCTGAATGTACATGTTGGATGTAAATGCTGGATGTAGATGTTGGATGTAGAAGTTGGATGGAGATGCTG